AACAATATTTCCTTCCTCATTAAATAGCAACATCCCTGAGACTGTTGGAGGGCCAGACATGGGGGCAATTCTGACTTTCTGGAAGTACAGCCCGCTGTCTCATGGCCTTAGGGAGAAGAGCATTCAGCTTGGAAATTCTCTACATCTAGTCTGGTGACTTAAAAGGGAGATATCTGGTTTGAAAACCTCTAAGAAGCTTGTGTTGTTTGTGTGTGGTTGTGACACATCATTAGGGAAAACAATTTGAAAGAAGGGATTATTTATTTGGGCTCCTGGTTTCAGAAATGTCAGTCCTCATGGCACGGGAGGTATGGCAGAGGCAGGCGACTGATATCATGGTAGAGGAAACAAGAAATGAAGTATAGGAAGCAGCCATGGCAGGACAAAGTCCTGCGGTTATGGCCCCTGTGGCATGCTCCTCCCAGCAAAGTCAAAATCCTCCCTTTCACTTCTCTCCATAATGGCCAATATTATGAATCCATCAAAGAATGAATCCATTCAAGAGTTCAAAAGCCTTCATGACAACAATCATCTGTCAATAACCCATTACAGACCCACTCCCAAAGGTGCTTTGGTAGTTTCCTATACCCTTTTCGAATTCATTGGAGTTGACAAGATTAGCCACAACAATCCTCTTGTAGTACTGCTTATTCTGTTGTCAGACTCAACAATATATGCCAACTATCCTGGACTGAAAATGCATGGTGATAGATAAAATAGCTCTTCTTCCTCCTGCTCTTCCTCTTCTTCTTCCTCCTCCTCCTCTTCCTCCTCATCTTTGCTATTTGGGATATACTTAGATAATCTGAGCTAGAATTTGTAGGACGACTATGACTTCCTACTATTGAGGTACATTATACAAAAATTTAAATAAAATCCCTGGATGTCAAGATACCACAAGTGTTGGGATCCATTTGGAAGTCTCTCAGATTCTTCCTATGGTGCATCCCTTTTAGAGATAGGAACCAGTGTGGCTAGCAAACTAGGAGGCCATGAGGAAAGGTTTTCATGTAAAGGAGGTTTAACCTATAGCGCTATCAGCTTCATAAAGCACTGGTCTTGGCTAGGCTGGAGTTAGGACTCTGCTTGCCCCCAGCTTGTGTGTGCATGCTTCCTTGCAACACTGTGAGTTCGAGACTCAACTTGCAAGAAGGTCATCACCGTATGTGACCCCTGGACCTTGTACCTCCCAGACATGACCCAAGTCAGAACCTCCTTTCTTTATAAGTAGCATGTCTCAGGTATTCCATTCAAGTAATGGAAAAAAGATTAATACACCAACTATAGCTGAGAGGTTATTAAAATCATACATATATTATATATATAGTGAATTTTTTTCATCCATGAGAAAGAAAATTACTTCATTCATAGGAAATCGATTGGCCGGGGGGGGGGGGGGACTATGTTAAGTAAGTCAGGCTCAGAGAGACAAAGGACACGTCTTTTCTCTCATAGGTGCAAGTTAGATCTAAATTATAACAATACATGTAAACACATACAGGTTCATGTGTATATACACACAAACATATTAACTAAAGCATGACCTATGCAGGGGAGGATTCCAGTAGTGTAACGCCTTTAAACAACTAACTTACAGTGTAAGACACTGCAGACATAGAGCTGGAACTTGTGGTGTCAGGAAAGTCATGAAGCCAAGGAATGGGGAAGAATGGAGAGAGGGATGTTTGAGGAGCAGAGAAGAAATGGAGAGAGGAAAGGTGGACAAAAGCAGACACGACACTCAATGTACCTAAGTGAATGTGGAGCCAGGACTTGGGATGGAGGGGGAGGGTGGAGAAATGGGGGAGTGGGTGCCAGTGGCTAAGGCCTATAAGCTTAGCTACTCAGGAGGACTGTGGCAGTAAAGTCCGTGAGACTCTTATCTCCAATTAACCACCAAAAAAGTGGAAGTGGCACTGTGACTCCAAGAAATAGAGCGCTAGTCTTGAGCAAAAGAGCTCAGCGACAGCACCCAGGCCTTGAGTTCAAGCCCCATGACTGACAAGGTGGTGACATTGATCCAGATGCATTATACTCACAAACTGACATGTTATATTGAAATCTCTTTGTACAACTAATGATAATAAATAAATAGCACATTAGGTGTGAAAACATTTCAATAACAGATAACAGATATTCCATTTATTTTTTGATTATAAAGTATTTTTATTTGGTGCTGGTCCTGGGATTTGAACTCAGGGCCTGGGCAATGTCCTTGAGCTTTTTTGTTGAAGGCTAATGCTCTTCCACTTGAATCACAGCACCATTTCCAGGGTTTTGATGGATAACGAGATAAGAGGCTCATGGAGTTTACTGCTTGGGCTGGCTTTGAAGCATAATCCTTAGATCTGAACCTCCTAAGTAACCAGGATTTCAAGCATGAGCTACTGGTGCCCAGCTTGTTATTTGGTTTTGATAGCTTTATTAAAATTATAAGTTTTAACTAAAAATTGCAAAGATAGCTGTCGTATTTTAAGAGGAGAAGTTCTTATTTTCCCATCAGATATTATCCTTGTGGGAGGAAAAGCACACTTAGCTACGTGGTTTGAACAATTACATGTTAAAATAAATACACAGTATACCATCGGGAGTCATATGATTGCACCCACAACATAGCACACACACACATTTATTACTCAGATTACTTAAGTACTGTGCATATTGGATTCAAGGCAAATTATTCCTAAATGACAGAATAATTGCTGGAACTACATTGTATTTTCCAAATCTAAATATGAGATAGATATTGAAAATCTTGTGTTAATTTTTGCTCCAACAAAAACAATGTGAATAAAACTATAGTATCATGAAAATAAACACAATATATACAAGAGATTATAAGCCTCATTTTTTAGGCATGTAGCTGAGTTAATAATTCTGCTTTAAAACAAATAAAAATGTATTTCTGTTATAACCTTGGCATAGTTCTTAAAAGAGATTATTATTGGTGCTGAAATATCCATAAAGTTTGATGTTCCTTTAGAGAGGGCTCCTAAATCATTCCCAAGTCTTTGCTGAAGAGGCTCATTCTCTTATCCAACTTAAATTACCAAGTTATTTTGCCTCAACAAGAATAAGACACTATTCCTACATTTAAGTTAAGTCCTGTAGACGGAAAGAGATATATGTTCACGTTTGAACAATAGTTGAAAACACCACATGTGATGCAAGCAAATACATTTTGCCTAGTGATGTAAGGTGATAGAGGAAATACTGAGTATAAGAAATCCGGAAAGGGAAAGAGGTTGGCTTGGTATGGAGTTATGAGTCTTTCACAGGAAATGAAGACCTAAACTTTAAATCATGTTTAAATGTGTTTCAATTGTAAGAGATTACAATTGGCAAAATTTCTTGTATGAAAAAATAATCTAGGTAAGAGAGCAGTTAGGGGGCAGAAAGTCCAGGCAGGCCTCAGTAATTCACATGGCCCAGTGTGAGAGGGAGAGACATGGCTCTGTCCCAGGGCTGGGCTGGCAGAGTTGAAGGTACACCTTGGTGCTTGTATGAGTCTTAGAAATGTTTAAATAGCAAAGCTGTGGTGGGAGAGATGGAAATGGGTTGCTCTGTTATAGTACCTGGAGACAAACAGAAGAGGTGGGGTACCCACAGAGTGGTCCTCATCTTAGACTCCTGCCTATCACCATGACCGTCATGTTTGAAAGCATGTGAAGCACTGGGCTCTCCTCATGAGTAGGCCCCAGTGCCTGTGTACGGTCCTCTTATCTTTGGCTATGATGATCACTAGCAATGATCTACTCAAGGTGACTGAACAAGAATAGGAATACTCCACTGCCACACAGGTGAAGGGAGCCAGGTATTATTTCTCAACGAAAGAACAGTGTGAAGGTGGGGGATGTAGTTGAGTGGCAGAGCATTTTCACAGTGTTGAGAGAGACCCTGTGTTACATCCAAACACAAACTATAACTCAATCAGGGAACAGAATCACTTCAATCAGTACCCTTGAAAACGAGAGTATAAAATGTAAATAAACCCAAGTTAATGACTTGCAAAAATTCAACAAAACAAGCAAGATAAAATGAACAAGCAAAAAATAGTGCCAGTGTTGGAAAGCACCTAGCCTCATCAAAACCTTTCCCTTCCCCTCCCCTCCCCTCCCCTCCCTTCCTTTCCTTTCCTTTCCTTTCCTGGCAGTGGAGAACCATCGGATCCTTACTGAGCTCTCCACTAGGGTAAAAGCCTTCTGCACTTTTCAATCATTTCTAAGAAGTGGGTTCATTATTAGAATGGACCAACTGTAAAAGAAACGGGAACCTACCATGTGTTCCTGAATAAAATAGATTTCTTTCTTTTTGTTTACGGTAGGCAGGGCCTGGGAAGGGCCTGACTCCAAGGGCTGAGGGAAGGCATGCAGATTGAAGGAGAAGGACCATTCTGAGGGTGTCACAAGAGGCTTTCAACTGGAATTCCTGAAATCAGCTGACACTCTTCCTGTGCCCTCTGGCTGCCGGCTTGATCCTGTCCCCTTCATGATACAGGACCCAGCATGGGCAGAGTGGGCACTCTATTGGCTGATGATGCTGAATAAATGGAGCACAGGGTGGTTTCTAAGAAAGAAAGGCCATGGTAAGGACAGGGAATGAAAAGATCCCTCCTTGTGTTAAAAAAGAAAAGAAAGAAAAGGATTTTAAGAAGCCAGAACTGGTGGTGGCTGTGGAGAGAGACAAAAGCAGTAGCTTTAAGAATCATTTTGTCAGGATGCAAAGTACTTATTAGAGATGGAGACTAAAGGGGACAAATGGGTCAAAACTGACTCTAAAGCTTTGGATCCAGGCAAGAAGATTGAGCTTCTTTAGCAGACATCCAATAGGGTTTTTATTGCACAAAGCACTTTATTATTTACATATTAAAGGAATCTTGGGTTCCGTGGATAGAGTGCCAGCCAACAAGTAAAAGTGTCAGGTGAAGGAAAGAAAAAGAATCTTAACTCCCTTATAGTCAAGTTCATCCATTTTTTTTTACAAAATATATCAAAAAACCATTTGGGATAACACTTTGTTTATTAATATAGATTAACTATAGTGATACAGATTGTTTTTTAGCATAATACAGGTGTCACATATTTCTCTTGGACTAAAAGCTATAGATGGCAAGGTGAAATACAATAACAGAAGAACTGAAAGTTGTTGAATGTGTTATAATATTGTATATTTGTATTGTATTATTATTGTATTAATGGAAGTCCCCCCTCAATGAACTCAAACCCACTTAACAGATGAGGAAACTGAGAACCACAGAGGCCAGTGTTCTCCCCTCTATAAATGTTGAGGGCACTGACCGTGTGCCAGGCACTTCCTTGGTGCTGGGGATATAAAAGGTAAACAGAACACTGTACCTGTACTCAAGGGGATTTGAGCCAGGATGGCGGAGGGTAGCATTTAGGAAGCAAAAGTTGTCACATTGCATACTATGTGTTGTGAGACAAGCATGCTTGTGCTGCTAAGCATGATTCATTCAGGCTCAGAGAGGGGCATGAGCGAGCTGAGCTGGGAAGAGCAAGCGAAGTCAGATAGTCAGAGGTTGTGTCTCTATGAGGTGAGACACCCAGGGAAGCCAAAGCAAGAGCAAGCCTAGAGCATCTAATACTCAAAGGAGTTCTAGTCTTTGAGTTGGAATTGATACTCTCCCAACTCCAAGTTCAGTGCTATATTATATGACATTATCTGTCCACTGACAAGTATGGGAAAATCCAGCCCATCAGTCAGTTCTCTTGCATGGAGAATAGGAAGTACACATGGCTCATGCTTCACTATACAGATCTTAAGATTATCCATACACTCCTGCCTAAGACTTCTCCCTCCTTTTTAGAGAAATATTGCTTCACATGAGAACTTTTTATTTCCTTCTGAAATATTTATGTCCATGGGATCAGGCCATATTACTCTGAAATCAGTAAAGCATTTAAAGGTGTCACTTTGGAAACAGTGGGCCATAATGCAGACAGCTTTCTTTGTAGAGAACGAATAATAAAACGTATCAAAATCATTCTGTTTCCTTATTACCATCCATTCTTAATGTGCTCTGTACTCCCCTGAGCATACATCTATGCATAGAAGACACAGACCCACGTGTATTTTAGAAGGCCTTTAGTCCATTTAGCCTCCTTCTGTAAATGAAGCTGAGTAGCCAGCATCCAATCCAGGAGAAAACCCACATTAGTGCTGATCTGAAAAGTCTTGTTATTTATTTCCAGTGTAGATTCGGATCCATCCAAGTCTGTGTCCAGCTGGGGTCACTAGGGGCTGATGGTCCAGGCTGTCACTTATGCCTGGGCTGGCTTACCACAAACAGTCCTCACTCATCTTCTCCAGCCGGGCCATCTGGCATGTGCTCGGAGGGTCAAACACAGAGGGGTCCTTAATGCCCAGCTGCACATCGAAAAACCGTGTGGACAGCACCACACTGTAATTCCTGATGAACATTTCCTGGACGGGATAGCAATCCTTAGCTGTGTAAACGCCAATCCAAGTTTCATCTGGAGTGGGAGAAAGTTGGCTTTTTAATTGAGGAGACAGACAAAATAGCTGTGCCTTTTATTACTGTGTTCTCTCTCTCTCTCTCTTTCTCTCTCTCTCTCTCTCACACACACACACACTAAAATGCACCATGTTAACTACTTTTAAGCATCTGCTTTGGAGATAGAAAATGCATTCATCCTAATCTAGAACCACCACCATCAACCATTGTGAAAACCTTTCCATTTTCCCATGCTGAGAAATCTGTATCAATTAAGTGGTAACTTCCTATTATTCTTCCCCCCGAGTGCCTAACACCATCCTACTGTCCACCTCTATGTATCTGGGTACCTCATTTAAGTGGAATCCTCTCTCTGTGTCTCTGTGTGTCTGTCTGTGTGTCTGTGTGTCTGTCTGTGTGTCTGTCTGTGTGTCTGTCTGTGTGTCTGTCTGTCTCTCTCTCTCTCTCTCTGTCTCTTGCTGCCAATAATGAGGTTTGAACTCATGTCTGGGCAGTATTTCATAGCGTTTTCCCTCAAGGCCAGCACTCTACCACTTTAGCCACAGGTCCCCTTCATCTTTTTGATGGTTGATTGGAGATAAAAGTCTCATGAACTTCCTTGCCCAGGCTGGCTTGAAGCTCACAGTCCTCAGGTCTGTCTCCTGAATAGCTAGGATTACAGGCATGAGTTACTGCTACCTGACTAACTTCTTTCCCTTAATGTAATGTCAGTAAGGACTACCCACATTGTAGCATATGCCAGAATTTCTATTTTATGGCTGAATAAAATATGACTGAATAAATAGATCTCATTTTTGTTTACAAACTTATCTGAAAGTTAGAGCTGTGGATTTTTCTACCTTTTGACCATTGGCTATAATGTTGGTATGAACTCAGCTGTCCAAATACCTCTGAGTTCCTGACATCAATTTCGGAATTGGAATTGCTGAACCATATGACGATTCTGTTCAATTTCCTGAGAAAATGCCCCCAAGGTTTTCTGTGGCATGAATACCTGTGTGTCCAAAACCATCTCAGAACTAAGGAAGTAGCAGCCCATCAAAGCAGGCCACCTTGTGCTCAGAATAATGGAATCAAAGCAGTCACTGCCACTTTGGAAGGAAAAGATAGCATCTGACCCTGGTGTGAGCTGCAGAATAATGCCTTCAATGACACAGACTTCAGGGTGACCATGGAAGGCCCAAACTCTATTCTAGAAGAGCCAATGTGGCAGAAGGTGGAGGTCTTTTAAGTAAAATGCTTAGATGTGAATATCACATAGATATGAAAATTCATGAGGGACTTCCATTGGTTTTAAGCCATTAGTTTGGGTTTATCCATTTCCCTAGCCGCTACCTTCCTTAAGGGGTTTAAGCCTTTTGTTTCAATCATGCATCTGGAGATAAAATGCTCCCACATTCCAGGGCTTACAGGATCTGGCCGACTTCCTGTCAGACCACTCCTGGACTGTGATCTGCTCCTGAGGGCCCCCGATGGAGTACTCGTCTTCAAAGGTAGAGTTCTGAGGAATGTCCAGAGGATCCCAGGGCTCTGTCAGGGGGATCTTTGAGCACTGCTTGGTGACCTGTTCAATCTGGAACATCACTCCTTCCTCATAGAGCAGAATATATTCAAATAATCTGAAAGAGAGAAGTAAAGAAAATAGCTTAGGACTTTTACATCTCTCACCAGCATAAAACACAAAGGATTCTGGGTATAAATTGGCTTTACAACAGAAAACAAATCATTTTGCTTGTTAAAGCAATTGTCTACTTACTTAGAAACACTAAGACACACCAAAGAACCAGGAGGGGAAATAATTACGATTCAGAGGCCAGAACTGAATATTCACTGGAAAAATTCTCATCAGTGACCTGTCCCATGCCAGACCTGCACTGAGGAGACAAACATGGAGACAACGTGGCCTTGGTTTGGCAGCTGGGTTCTGACCTCTCACTCAACCAGGGGTAAAGGAAGATTTGTCCTTGGCTTATTTGAGCAAGCTCTTCTTGCAGCACAAGCCAAAGAATTGCAGGGGTATCTTGAGTGAGGAATGAACTCTGGGCCTCAGGCTATTGCTCAATTTTTCCACTCACAGCTGTCACTCTACCACTTAAGCTACACCATCACTTGTAACTTTATTTTGCCAGTTAACTGGAAATAAGTGTTTTGAGGAAGTAATTGGAAATAAAGAGTTTTGAGGAATTGTCTGTGTAGGCTGCTTCAAACCTGGACTATCAGATTTCAGTCTTCTCAGTAGCTAAGATTATAAGCATGAGCCACTGGCACCTAGCATGACCTCAGTTTACACACACACACACACACACATACACACACACACACACACACACACACACACACACACACACAAAAGATAGGAAATGGTGTGCAAGGGTAAAACAAAAACAAACAAATGGAATACAGACTTTTCATATGGAAGTGAATAAACAAAAATAAATGTGTGTTTTGTGAGATATTGTTCAAAATATTTTATATTTATATACATATATATATACATATTCCACATAAAACTGTTAGCTCACCCTGTCACCAATGGGTCATACCTCTGTCATCCTAGCTACTCAGGAAGCTGAGATCTGAGGATGGTGGTTCAAAGTCAGCTGGGGCAGGAAAGTCTATGAGACCCATCTTCAATTAACCAATAAAAACCAAGAAGTAGAGCTGTGGCTCAAGTGGTAGAGTACAAGACTTCAGAAATAAAAAAGCTCAGAGACCATGCCTAGGCCCTGAGTTCAAGCCCCAGGAGAACACACCAACACACACACACACACACACACACACACACACACACACACACACAAACATGTTAGCTGTTTGAGTAACTTTGAAGTTGGATTGCCCTTGTCTTCCCAGTCTGTAAGTCCCTGAAGCACTCCCTGGAGGTCCGTATACTGAATTCCAACTTGTAGAGCACAGTGCACCCAGATATGGGCGTCTCTGTCCACTCAGGGATAGACAGGGATAGGGATAGGATACAAATCCTATCCGAAATGCTTCTAATAATAATCAGTCCATCCACAGAACACCTCCACAGTGCACCGTTAGGGATGTACAGTTGCCTTCATTGGTTTTCTCTTCACTGTTAGTATCACTTCACTGTTAGTACTGCTTCCTCCAGTCCTACATACCTCAGCCTGAAAGTCTTTCCTGCTAATTTTCTGATAGTCCAGGTGTGTGCTTCTCAAAGCGTGATGGCTGTCCCCTGTGGGACAGGCAGTTATGTGCACCAGGGAACTGGGGTTCCTTTGAGAGACCACTGTTTTCACCTCTTATATCCACAGGCTAGCAGAAAACCACCCCACAGCCACTGTGGTTATGGCAGACCTTGCCATTCCCAGGAATGGCCCGGCAGTGGACATGTGACCCTGCATGCACAATGAGAGCAGTCCTCTGGATATGTGGAACTGTGACCATGAGTCAGCTTCAGTAGATAACTGGACATGTCAAACGTAAATTCAGAGGCCATAGGTTGTTCTTTTCCACCACATAAACTGACTAACAGTGAATCCTACAAGCTGAAACTCCAGCAGCTGTCCATTCCCTGGTACATTCATTTTCTGCATTCACTGATGCTCTGTAACTTTCCAGATCTGAAAGCATTTTTTTAATGTCACCATCAATAGTGAAGTTATGTTGATAGTACATAAAGTAAAACTTAAAATGATCGTTTTACAGGAAAGGACACAGAACTTATCATTCATCCAGTGTGACTAGTATTGTTTACAAATTTTAGGAAGGGAACCTTTAATGAATGCTGTATTGGCTCCAGTGCTCATGTGAACATTTCAATCACTACAGTATTAATAGAACCCTGGGCCTGAAGCTCAGTAGGGAAGGACAGAAGGTCAAATGCACAGATCAGCCCAGATGGACAAGAGGCATCATGGGTAACAAACCAGTCTCACAGGAACTGGACATTTTCTTTTTTTGTTTTGTTTTGTTTGTTTTTTTAGGTCCAGTCATGGGGCCTGAACTTTGGGCCTGGGCATTGTCCCTCAGCTCTTCAGCTCAAGGCTAGCGCTCTACCACTTGAGCCACAGCACCACTTCCAGCTTTTTTCTGTTTGTTTATGTGGTGCTGAGGAATCGAACCCAGGGCCTCAGGCCTGCAAGGCAAGCGATCTACCACTGAGCCACCTTCCCAGCCCGAACTGGACATTTTCCAGGCAGGATCCAAGTCTGGTTCTAACAAGGAATACAGAAAATTGCACTTCTGGTATACAACCAAATAAGGCAAGGTGCTAGAATGGGCATGGAGGATAAACAGACAGACAGGTCAACACCAACAAGCAAAATTCACGTCTTTGTTGGCCAGACACCAGACAGCACAGACCCTAAAAGGAAAGGGTGAGAGTTCCCACAAAGGCAGAGACTGACAGGAGGCTTCAGCATAAACAAGGTCACAGCTGGCCAGGCTGCCCTTGGGTTCAAGATGGAGATCTCCAAGGCAAGAGGCCCCAGCCTGTCTCCCTTCTCATCAGATGGGACAAAAGCTTATCGATTTTCTTAACAAAACCCTCATTATCAATTTCAGTTTTTGAAAATCCATTTTCTGTAACATTATGCTACACCATACTTATGGCTTCTAAAAAAACTGAAAATCTGTACAAGTTTTATTTCTTTTGAAAATAGGTTTACAGCTCTCATAAAAATGACCCATGTTCAAAGCATAGAAATTTGAATAATACGGAAAGGAAAAGGAAGAAGTAAAAGTTGTCCAGAAATTCCAACTTACAGAAATACTCAACTTTGTGCATGTATCTACATATATATATATATATATATATATATATATATACATATATATATTTCTAGATAATCTTTATGGAACACTGGCTCTTAATGTTAAAATTTCAAATTGTAAAGGTATCAGCTTGATGATTTTCTTATTTTTGGAACCAGGCTTAAACTCTAAGCCTTGAGTTCTGGCTTATCTTTCTTATTTACAGCTGTGTGTGAAATACTGGCAGATTTTTCCTCATAGGACTGTGTTATTTTGCACTCTTACCAGAAATATATGTGAATGTTTGTTTTCTTTATAGTCCTGCCAACAGAGAATGCTGTTAAATTTGCCTTTGAGCCCATCTGATAAGCAGGATGTGGAAATTGACTCTCAAGGGCAATACGGTTTTTTGTTAATCCCATTGCACGTTTTTTTCCTTGAGAGAGAGACAGAGAGACAGAGGCAGAGAGAGAGAGAGAGAGACAGAGACAGAGACAGAGACGGAGACAAAGACTGACTTGATTGTGTGCTTAAAAATCTGGTCAAATTTAATGGTTGTTGTTTTCTTCTTTTCCAGGGCTTTAACAGAAATTGGGGATTTTAAATCTTTGCATGTGAAATTTACAGTGAACTTATTTTGCACGCCAAAAAACCTAATCACAAACTTTTCGGCATTTTTAAGATTTAAATGTATACATTATTACAAATGCAATTAGTATCATTATCTTTACTCATCTCTCTAAAAACAATCTGCCCATTTTTTGTGATACTTTGTATACTTCAAGAATATTTTTTAAAATTTTTCTATACAAGTTTTACCCATTTCCTTTGAGTTTATTCCTAAAGAGTTTATCTTTTCTTGAGGGTGATAGTTTAATTCGAATATTTTCTTCCACTGAAACTTCTAGCAGGAAGTTTGTATATTTGGAAGCTATTGATTGTTCATGTTAATTTTATATACAGTCACCTTATGGAATTCTTATTACCTGAGTTGTTTTTATTTTGGGGTCTTTGGGTGTTTTAAGTTAACAGACTCTATAGTGCTAACAATGTTGGGTTTTATTTATCTTTCTTGGTTCTCATGTCTCTATTTTATCTGATTTTATTGGCCAATAAATTCATTTCACTATCAATGTGTTCAAACTCTTGAGTTCAAATCCCAATGCTGTCAAACATTTAAAATGTACTACAATCAGTTAGGCAATCGTGGCTCATACCTATCTACCTACTCAGGAGGCTGAAATCTGAGGATTATAGCTTGGGCAGGAAAGTCCATGAGACTTTTATCTATAATTAACCACCAAAAAGCCAGAAATGGAGCTGTGTTTCGGTTGGTAGAGCACTAGCCTTAGGCAAAACAGCTCAGGGACATTGCCTAGGCCTGAGTTCAAGCCCCAGGACCAACACACCAACACACACACACACACACACACAATTACAATCCACTCTATTAAGCAAAGAAGAGGAAACTTTTCTATCTCATTTCTTACTTGAGAATAAGGTTTACAACCTGAAAAAAGTATTGTCAGAAAGTTTAGGTCAAGGAACCAAGGTGCTTTATTCACTCTTAGTGAGATGTCTGATTATAATTATAAGCTATTTCTCATATGTATTAATGATTTGAAATTTATGCTCTTACAGCATTATTATGAAGATACCCTAAGATAAGTGAATTGCTACACAAATGCAAAATTATCTTGTTACAACAGGAAACTTGTCACTTAGCTTCTATATAGAAGACCTGTTACACTGTGAAACAGGGAGGTTAAGTTATAGAAGGGGACAGAATGCTGGTAAAAAGACTTATTGAGTGCTCTAGTACAAACCTTCATAAAGATTTAGCATTTCTGCCTCTTGCTAAGTATTTCAGATTGCTTGTTTTCTTCATCTATCTTAC